TATGAAATTTTTTTAAAAATCTGAAAGCCATCTAAGGGGAGTTAGAAAATTATAAAATAGGGCCTTCCTTGTGGTGCAAGGGATTAAGTCTCAGCATTATAAAGCTATCTGCAGCCACTTCAGATAAGTTAGATCACTGGCCTGGGAACTAACCCACATGGAGCAGCAGACCTCTCCTGTCTCTCTCGCTGCTTTCCTCAGCCGTATATTTCAATGGATTCACTTGTTCTGCTACCCACTCTGTCTCTGGTGGATCCTCTCACCCTCCCACACCTCTGGCCTACACCCCAGCTCTTGTATGCAATAAGTAAATCTTTAAAAAAAAAAAAAAGAAAATTTATAAAATAATTTCAAATACAAATACAAAAAGTAATAGACTTTTCTGCATTTTGACACCAGGATTCCCTATGGGTATCAGTTGAGAAGTGATTACAAGTACATACTCAACTATTTAGATTATCATATTATTGCCATGATCAGTTTGGAAAACTGTAACAAATCTAGCTGCACATCAAATCCTCAACTCCTTTATTTATTTATTTATTTATTTATTTATGCATACAGTAACTGGGGTGTAGACCGGAGGTACAAGGGGTGAGAGGATTCACCGGAGACAGAGTGGGGAGCAGAATAGGCAGAACTATTGAAATACACTGCTGAGGGGAGCAGCGGGTAAGACAGGAGGTCTGCTGTGCCATGTGGGCTAGCTCCCGGTCAGGGAGAGAACTCATGTTGCAGTGGCTGGCAATAGCTTGTTAGCGCTGTGTCTTTAACACTTGTGCCACCAGGGAGGTCCACAAATCCTCACCTTTTAAGTCAACAATTCAAAATCAGAAAAGATGAAAAGTACTGCAAGTACATACAGGTCTTTCTAACTTTCAATAACAGCAATCATTTTGAAAACTGCATTTTACATGCATTAAAATAACCAGAGTCAAAATCACTTACACATCCAGAATAACTATTTTGCCTAGGATGCTCACTGTGCGTGTGTGTTCTCTAGAAATACCTCTTTTGTCGCAAGAGAAAATGAGAATAGTTATCTAATTACATCAGTGGAACTAGGACTTGGATCATATGTTTTGCAAACACTTTTCAATTAATTCTGGTATTTCGCTGTCATCACTGCTCTGGCCTAGTACTAAAAGGTATTGTTCATTAAGCTCTTAGTGAGTTAGTGTAATTAAATGTAATTCAAAAAAGACTGTAGGAAAAAAATAGTTACTGCACATCAAGTAACTATTAACCTTCTAATGAATAATTTAAATCTAACAAGTTTCCATGTTTACAAAATAAATGAACTGACAACAAATGAACATAAAATATATGGCGATCTATAAAAGTATACCTTTTCTGGTCCTAAAGATAACATTTAACAAAATTTATCTTATTGAAAATTGTACATTTTAGGGAAAAAAATAGTACCCAATTCCTTGCTTCCAATTCAATTCCCTCTAAGCCGTGCCGCATTCAGTTACCAAACTTACCCTCCAATGACACCCTTCAGATCACATTAGTCTCTTGATTGAAAGCATTTAACAGTTGCCCATTACACATTCAGAAGCTTTGTACGAATGGTCCTTTATAAACTGGCCCCCGAAGGCTTTGGTAATTCTAATTCCCACTGAAATTTGTGTAAATAAGTGGTGCTTTGGATCTTTCAAGCTTTTTAAATAAACATGACTCATTCAATTTTCACCATAACTCTTTACATAGAGCATTTCACTAAAGAAGGAAATTCAGGGTCTCCCTGGTGGTGCAGGGGTTAAAGACACAGGGCTATCAAGCTCTTGCCAGCCACTGCAGGAGGAGTTCCATACCCAGCAGGCCAGGGAACTCACCCACATGTGGTCCAGCAGACCTCTCCTGTCTTGCCCAGTGCTCCCCTCAGCGGTGTATTTCAGTAGATCTGCCTGTTCTGCTCCCCACAATTTCTCTGATGAATCCTCTCACCACCCACACCTCTGGCCTGTACCCCAGTTCTTGTATGCATAATAAACAAACAAATCTTAAAAAAAAAAAAAGGAAAGAATGACAGAGACAGAACTAAAATATGGTGTTTGGATACTAGACCACCACTCTTTCCATTCCAATCTGTTGGTCTCCTCATTATTCTATTAAACACCTTACCCCCATCTCTTGCCTTTGATCTCTAGCTAGTAAGTCCTCTTCTCCCATCCAATTCTTGCCAATCCTCCAAAATCTCCATTTCAAAGAAGGCTGAAGTAATCATTCTATTCTATACACCACTCACATGAACTTCCCCAGAGCTTATAGTATGCACTATTTTTCTTGTCTCCTCATCACACACTAAAATGGGCTACTTCTTCCATTTTTAACCTGGCCCTGCATTATTATTTCTCAATCTGTAATCTAAAGTTCTAGGAGAAAGAAATGGATTTAGGCATTAATTCTGAATTGCCTACAGGATCTAACATAGTGTTACTACATACTGGTTCTCTAGAAATTCTTTTTGCATTGAAAGAGAAAAAGAGAATAGTACCTGAGGCATAAAGGATGATTTTAAGGTGCAAGGGTAGATACATAAGAATGAAGCAAACAAGTTCCGGCTAAAAAGAATAAGGAAAAGAATGAAGTCTGCAGGAGCGAAGACAGCACTAGCAAATCTGGATTGAGTACTGTAGTAGCCCAGACGCCAAAGGAAAACTTGAAAGACGAACTGTAATTGCTGCAGGCAGAAGACAGTAAGAAGTCACTTCAGTACTGTGGAAAGAGCTCCAATAAATATTTGACAACTGCAAGGTATATCCAATGAGTCATGAGGGTACTGCTGAGTACCAGCAGTAATAAAACATCAGTACCTGTATTAAGTTTTTTTCAGGCAAGTCTTCAAATAAAAATTACAGTCTTAGTCAAATTACTCTGCAGGACCCCACAGAAAATTTAAATTTAAATCAAAGCTGGTCTGGCCGTCTCTCATATTAATCAAGCTCCCTTCCCTCTCTAATCTCCCAGCTTTCCCGCATCTGTTCAATTCCATTAAAAACAAAACGGAAGCGTTTTGGAAAATTCTGTCAGCAGGTTTTAAACAGGGCTTTCAAGTTTTGCCTAGATCTGTCCAACTCCATGGGCGTTCAACAGGTTAGGTGACAGGTCCTGCTTCTCCTACTACCTACCACGTGGACAGAGCCGCAATCCCGGCCCCAACTCCGGCGATGCCCACAGCTGCACGGCGCCCACTACACCCCCTACCCTACCCTTCCCAAGAACTGCTCCACACCCACGGGGGACCTCCGTGTCCACAGGGTCGAGCCGGGCGCGGGTGCCGACCACTCACTGGCCAGCTCCCGAAACCAACAGGTGGGAAGCCAATGAGCACCCGGTACCCGGCCGGGGCCGGTAACGTGCTTAGGCTGAAGGGCCTGCGAGAGGAGAACGCGGTCGGGGCAGGAAACTCGGGCTCTCGGGGCGCAGAAAGTCATGCCAGGGGTGCCTGCGAGTCAGTGGGATCGGAACTCACCCACGGCGACAGCGCCCATAACTGCATCCCCTAGTGGGCCTTTGGGCTGGGCAGCCAGCTGCGTCGTCCTCCCGGTGATGAGCAGAAAGCGACAGAGGCGAAGCGAGAGTGACCCCTAGAAAGCAACAACTTCCGGAACGCGGCATTCTGGGAAGTGGCTGCGGGCCCCAGGCCTGGGGATGATGACGTTCCCCACTCGGCGCCTGCGCGCGGCCGCGCCGGAAGTCCAGGAGCCGCGGCCTGGGGGCGTGGCCGTCGCGGGAGTTCCACGCTCGGCGCTGCCGGCCTAGCGGATCCATGTGCTTTTAAAGTAGGGGCACCTGGGCCTCCCTGGTGGCGCAAGGGTGTAAGCCCCGCAATGTGAAGCTGTTCGCAGCCTCTGCAGCACCAGTTCGATCCCGGCACCCTAGGGAGCTACCCAAATGGCGCGGCAGACCTCTCCTGGCTCGCCCGCTGCTCCCCTCAGCAGTGTATCTCAGTCCTTATGCCTGTTCTGCTCCCCACTCTGTCTCTGGTGAGTCCTGTCACCCCCCGCATCTCTGGCCTGTGCCCCAGCTCTTGTATGCATAAATAAATATTAAATAAAATATAAGGTAGGGGCACCTGGTGGGGGTCAGAGGCCCCGAGGCTCCCGGTTACCTGGTTCAAGCGGAGCATCTGAAAGCTGAAGAAGAGGGGAACGCTACGTGTCACATCGTACCCCTAACGTCCTATCGGCTTCTCCAGTTCTGCACGCAAATTGTCTTTAACTAACCTTGCCGGGGAGGGGGGGGCGTGTAAAACACCTGCGGTGTATTCCTTCAAAATATGTACGTGTCCACTTGGTGCCAAGCCCCCGTGAAGTGAGTTAAGCAAACACTGACCTCGCTGCCTCGGAGTTTAATCTGCTAAAGGAGACACCATCGTGGCCACTTAGAAAAGGGGCAGGTGCCAAGGGGGTGGGGGCTGGGGGATAGGCGAGCGATGTGCACAGTAGAACAACTGGTTCTAAGAGAGGTTAAGCGGGTGGCATTCTAACCAGTCGAATCGGCCAGGGCAATGATGCTTTAACTGGGGGCCGCCTCTTCAGTGCTGATGCGGTGTAAGGTTCTTCCTAACAGGCTTCCTCCCCTTTCTCTAACACACGGCCTTGCCCCTGTCGTATCTTCCACTTCCCTGACCTGGACCGCTGTTCCCTTTGCTCTGGGGCTGGCATCGTACTGTAATTCGGCTCCCACTTTCAGTGTCCCTCGCTCACTGGCTCCCAGGCCGCATTATGCACCCAGATCCCCGAGGCATTCCCAGGCTTGAACCCATATGAGAAGCGCGTTATTTTCACGAACCCGTCTTTGACTCCAAAACAGTTGCCAATTTACTTCGTGGCACTGTCGGTACGTGGACCATGGCAATGGGATGGAATCAAAACCCCGGGGCCGGGGGGGGTCACCGCGCAGCCGGGCGCCCGAGCCGCCCGCCATGTTCCCGGAGCGCGCCGGGGCGCACGCGCATGCGCGGTCGGGAAACGCGCGCTCACGCCCCCGGGCCGCCCACGGCGCCGCTCCGGAGACTTCGGCCGTCTAGGCCCGGGCTTCTGGGGCCCCTCCCGATGAGCACTGACTGTCCGCGCGGCCGGGACGCCCTGGGACACTGCACCGAGCGGGGCACGGCTCAAGGTGAGTCTCCCGTCCGCCGAACAGCCGCGGGGCGGGAGGTTGCCCACGCCGCGGCGGCCGGGTCCACCTTTCGCGGCTTTCGCGACGTGGAAGCCACGTCGTCCCACGCGCCGCATGCTGCTCATTGGCTAGACGCGGCTCCTGGCCCCGCCCACATCCGGGTCCTCCCTCCGCCCCTCCACGGGTCTGTCGGGGGCGACGGGCCTGCGTCCGCGCGTGCGCGTGGGGCTCAGGGTGCTGGAGCACTGGCTGGTGGGGACCCGCGAGGCTCTGTAAATACCAGCAAAAAAATCCTCGAGGGAAAATATGAGTCCAGTCTGGAGACTGCGGTTTCATTCTCCATTCTTACAGCAATCACGGAAGTCTTGAGTCAAAGTACCTTGTCTCTTTTTTTACCCCCAAACCTAAATCTACGAAAATAATTGGGCAAATAAATGACTGACTTAAAAAACTTCAAGCCCATAGCTGTCCGCTCAGAGGTCACTCATTTCCTAACTTCTTTGCTATTTTCACTTTATCTTCCAGATCTCCAAACTCAAGGAGGCCTTCTTCCAGTTTCACTCTCTCCCTGGGTAGCTACACAAGCATGCTTGCATTTATTTATTATTTTAAGATTTATTTAATTATGCAAATAAGAGCTGGGGTACAGGCCAGAGATTGGGGAGGGGGGTGGTGGTGAGAGGATTCACTAGAGACAGAATGGGGAGCAGAACAGGCAGACTGACTGAAATCCACTGCTGAGGGGAGCAGCGGGTGAGTCAAGAGAGGTCTGCTGCGCAGTGTGTGTTGCTCCCTGGCCTGGGATTGAACTCATGCTTCAGAGGCTGCGGACTGCTTCATAGTGCAGTGAGAAGCATGCTTTTAAATGAATGGTAATTACTTCCCAGATTACACCTCGAGTAAGTTTGAGCTCTCATAACTGAACTCATAACTGTACACCCAACTGCCTGTTGGACATAGGCACTTTATAGGTATCTTTGATAGACACCAAGCTTCAGATTTCCTCCCTCTTCCCCATGTAATTAAAAGACAAATCCATCCTTCCAGTTGCTTTAAGTCTTGCAGTCATTCTTCCATATCACATCTAATTCATGGTAAATCCTGTTGTTTGTACTCTTTATGTCCAGAGGTGAACTGTTGCTCAACACCTCGACTACACACTCAAATACAAAGCACCATTATAGCCTCCGGGGATTGTAGTGCCTACATGCACTCCTCACTTTCATCCTTGTTTTCCTATACATTCTACTGTGTGTTCTATTGGACCCTGCAGACTACCCCCAGGACTGTGTGTGGCATAATCAGATGGAGAGACTTTAGAGACAAATAAGAGGGGTCAAAGTTCTGGAGGAAATAGACACTTAGCACCTTTGAAGAAGTTATTTGAGGATGACTATTTACTGAGTTGTAGCCAGCTTTAAAGACAAGACTGCCGGGGCTGAGGAAAAAGGGCTGCCCATAGAAGCTGTGGTCTTCAGGGGTTACAGCCATTGTTGGATTTGCCAAAGCCAGGAAGGAATCCTGTGGCTTTTTTTCTCTCCCGTCCTCCCACTTCCTGCTAAGCATTAATTGAACCCAAGACAAGAAAGGCACAAGAATGGGGTGTCATAGGCAGTGAGATCAGCTGTGCAGAGTCCAAGGTTGGGAAAAGGAAGAACAGGAATGTGGATAAATGGGTGTAAGAGGTATACAGAAAGTAACTGGTACAAGAGAAAAAAGTCCAAATAATGAACCACTGAATTAAGCCTTGGCATTCGGGCTGGGAAGAAGGGATAGGCTCAGGGCTACACTATTTTTCTGTTGCTTTCCTGCCTCACAGACCTTTTTCTTTTTTCCCCTCTATACCTCCTCCTCCACTTGTCTAAGCCTTACCTTTCCTTCAAGTCATAACTCAGATCGTACCTCCTTCCTCAAATATTTACTGATATGCTATTTCACTGATTTTAATCCCTATGATAATATTTAAGCTGGCTGTTTAACACTAGCCTTTTAATTTTTTTTGGACTTATTTACTTATGCATACAAGAACTGGGGTACAGGCCAGAGGTGTGGGGTGGTTAGATGATTCACCAGAGACTGAGTAGGGAACAGAACAGGCAGATAGACTGAAATACATTGCTGAGGGGAGCAGCGGGCAAGACAAGAGAGGTCTGCTGCACCATGTGGGTATCTCTCTGGCCAGCTGGGAATCGAATTGGTGCTGCAGTGACTGTGGACAGCTTCACATTGCACCACCACGGAGGCCCGACACTTACCCTTTTTATCTTTATTGTTCTATATCTTATTAGATATACTTCCGATCTTCAAACTAAATAGAAGTTCCCAGGGAAGAATGAAGGATGAAACTCTACATATAGTAGCTACTCAATAAAACTTTACCAAAGAAGAGAAAGAATTCCATGAAGACTCCATTAACATAAATAATGGTGTTTGATTATACAAATTCTCTTTGAGAAGGTAAGCCATGTTTTTTTTTGTTGCAGTTATGAGATTGAACTTTTTCTTCCCAGAAATGTAACTCTAGCTTGTTTCTGCTGTATTTAAAAGTACTATCATAATGAAAAAAATACCAAATATGGATAAAGAGGAATTTCTCTTTAGTTTTTTATATTATATTTGATAGTTGAGATAAAATTGTAAAATGTTATATGTTCTAAATGTATATGCAAGAAGTTCTTTGGATCATTTTATTATAAATGGGAGAAGATAAAGTCACATAAAATGATATGAGGTTTCTGTACTTCACTCATAGTAGACTATGATGTTTATGTGTTGTGTGTGTATCTGTATTAGAGTAAGCACTAAAAAAAGCTATAGAAAAAAACCTGCAAAGACATCATAAATAAAACAAAATGCAGTTACACAATATTTCAAACCATAAAAAGGCAGGGAAAATAAAGAAGTGAAAAAACAGAAAATAAAATGATTGGCTAAAGCCCTAACATATCAATACGTTCATTAAAATGTAAATATCTAAATAAAATTAAAAGACAGAAATTCACCTGTACACACACCCAAAAAGAATTACCTGGTCCAAAGTGTGAATAATATTGAGATTAATAATCCTGAACTAGAGTCTAGTTAAAGACTAGACTTTCAATAAATGCATGTTTTCTACTCCTTGCCAAGGTACCTAGAAATAAAAATTCTGTAGCTCCTCTCCCTGTGTGACCAAGCAGTTAATAGAGGGAAGAAAGCTAAAATAAAAGTTAGTTATAACTCATTCACAACCTGCCATCTTTCAAGATTTTTTTTTTAAAGATTTATTTATTTATACAAGAACTAGGGTGTAGGCCAGAGACGCGGGAGGGTGAGAGAATTCACCAGAGACAGAGTGGGGAGCAGAACAGGCAGATGACTGAGAACACTGCTGAGGGGAGCAGCGGGTGAGACAGGATAGGTCTGCTGCACCATGTGGTTATCTCCCTGGCCAGCTGAGAATTGAACCCGCGCCGCAGTGGCTTCGGACAGCTTCACAGTGCTGCGCTCAACCCACTGCACCACCGGGAAGGCCCAACTTTCAAAATTTTTTTAAACAGACTTTCTCTGTATTTCCTCTCCCTTTATCTTTCTTTCCTTTTCTTTCATTTTAATAGTAGTCACAGAAAAAGGAAAATAAGCACATATGCCCAACCTCCATGTTTTATCAGAAGACCCCTACTTTTTCTTGCAAATAAAATTAAAAATGAATTTATTAAATTTTAAGTTTTTAAAAATCCTATCTAGATAAGCATTTCTGTATCCTTTATTTTTTTATTTTTTTTTTTTTAATAGAGGCATGCTTTATTTATTTATTTATTTGTTTGTTTTGTTTATACATGCACTGGGCACAGTCAGAAGCGCGGGAGGGTGAGAGAATTCACCAGAGCCAGAGCAGGGAGCAGAGCAGGCAGAAGGACCGAAGTACACTGCTGAGGGGAGCAGCGGGCGGCAGGAGAGGTCTGCGCGCCATGTGGGACCCTCCTCCGGTGGCCGGGGAGCAGCCGGGGGATCGAACCGGCGCCGCAGACGCTGCGGGCAGCCTCGCAACCCAGCGCTCAACCGCTGCGCCACCGGGGAGGCCCATCTCTGTATCCTTTATAGCCTTGTAGTAGGGAAAGCTTTTCTTTTCTTTTTCTTTTTTTAAAAAGATTTTATTTATTTATGCATACAAGAACTGGGGTACAGGCCAGAGGTATGGGGGGGTGAGAGAATTTACCAGAGACAGAGTGGGGAGCAGAACAGGCAGATCTACTGAAATACAATGCTGAGGGGAGCAGCGGGCGAGTCAGGAGAGGTCTGCTGCGCCATGTGGTAACTCCCTGGCCGGGGATCAAACTCGTGCTGCAGTGGCTGCAGATTGCTTCATAGATCGCATCTTAACCCCTTGCGCCACCAGTGAGACCCAGTAGAGAAGGCTTTTCTAACAAACATTCAAAATCAGAAGCTGTAACAGAAAAAGCTGATGAGTTTGATATATAAAAATAAAAACTCATAAAAGGTACACACAGACACAGAACACCACAAAAAGACCATGTGTTAAGATTTCTATTTAGGGGCCTCCCTGGTGGTGCAGGCAGTTGAGCACAGTGCTGTGAAGCTGTCCACAGCCTCTGCAGTGCTGCTTTTTATCCCTGCGGGCCTTGGAGCAACCCACACGGGGAGCAGACCTCTCCTGTGTCGCCCCCTGCTCCCATCAGCAGTGTATTTCAGTAGATCCACCGGTTCCGCTCCCCACTCTGTCTCTGGTGAATCCTCTCACCCTCCCGTGCATCTGGCCTGTACCCTGGTTCTTTTTAAGGGGGATTATAAAAATTTTATACTTACATATGGCAACTTTCTAGAAGGCAAATTGACAATATCTACCAAATTTAAATTGTTGAACTGTTGATCCAATAAGCCATCTCTACAAACTTATCCTTGAATATAAAATATTCACAGTTCACCGAACTGTATTTATAAAAAGAAATTTATTATAGAATTATTCATAATAGCAAAAATGTGGAAGCAATCCAAGTGCCTACCAATAGGTAAAGAATACTGTAAATTAGGACATATATACATGATTCATTATCACAATCAACCACTAGAAAGAATGAGTTAGACACTATGCTGACAGTGAATACATCTCCCAAATATATTTGGGAGGAAGGGGATAAGAAGTAAGGGGAAAACATATTATGTGATCCTCTATTGATACATTTAAATTATGTATCTCACTCTCTCTATATATTTACTAATACCCAATTATATTTTCCACATATGTATGTATATCATGCTTAGATGTTTTCTGACTTTTATATTTACACGCTATACCATCTTGTATTTTCATATATGTGTATGTATAATGCTTAACGTGTTTTCTATTTCTGAAACACCAAGAACTCTGCCTTGGTGTGGGGAGTTAGGTAGGTAAAGGAAGAAATCACCAGCAGCAAACAATAACTTCATTTTTTTAACCTTCCTTTAACATTTTAATTGTGTTCTTGGATGTTTGTTTTTTAAATGATACTATGGATTGCTTGAGCTATGGAATAATTTAGTCTCTATTTTCACATATACTGCTTTTTAAAACTAATAAAAATCAAGTTTAAGGGGGAAAAAAAATCACCCATTCACATAGCTAATTTTCTTATTCTGTTCATTCTAGGTTTCCAAGGTCTGATCATAGCCTGTCTCCTGGTTATATCATAGATAGGGCTTTTGACTGCCTAATATGCTCAATGAAATTGCTCATTGTGGTGGCTCAAGATGCCAGATCAATGCTCTAGATACAGAGGAATTTGGTACCTGGTTAATACTAGAGTTTTCTGACTCTCACGGAGTCTCACCCCCTATTTTGGGTCCTTAACATATAACATCTGTGAGTGGAATAATGCAGATGGTTTGATTAAACTTCACATTGTATGAAGAAATCAAATAGATTTTCAGTAAATACTCATGTTGACCAATTGATTTCTCCCAAGATTGTGTGTGCAAATTTCCTCTCATTCTTACCTCCTTAGGCACTTGCAGCTAACCAAAATGAGTGACATTGAACAGGCAGAAGCCCAGCTGTCTGAGTTAGACCTGTTGGCCAGTATGTTCCCAGGTGAGAATGAGCTCATAGTGAATGACCAGCTGGCTTTAGCAGAACTAAAAGATTGTATTGAAAAGAGAACAACAGAAGGACGATCTTCAAAAGTTTACTTTACTATCAATGTGAACCCGGATGTATCTGAGGAAGCAATGGTAATTCAATTTTGCTTTTGGAAGAATTGAAACATGTCAAGACTTAACACTGAGGGCCTTTTATTTTTTCTTGTTTTAATCAGAGGATGTTTTCTCTGGCCTGTATTCTTCCCTTTAAATACCCTGCGGTTCTTCCTGAAATTACTGTCAGGTATGTGACAGGAACTGGCCAACTTCAGAGGCCAAAATTAATCTGAGAATAAAATAGTTTCTTAAGTTTGTTTTTTCTGTTCCAAAAAAATTGATTTATTGTTTTATCTTATGTCTTTTCCATCAGATCAGTATTATTAAGTAGATCCCAGCAGACTCAGTTAAACACAGATCTGACCGCATACCTGCAAAAGAATTGTCTTGGAGATGTCTGTATATTGAATGCCACAGAGTGGGTGAGAGAACACGCCAGTGACTACGTCAGCAGAAATGCCACACCTGCTGCTGGAAGTGCAGTACAGTCAGAAGATCTCATTCTCACAAGACTCTGGATCTATAGCCATCACATCTACAACAAGTGCAAAAGAAAGAATATTCTAGAGTGGTCAAAGGAGCTTTCCCTGTCTGGGTTTAGCATGCCTGGGAAACCTGGTGTTGTTTGTGTAGAAGGCCCACAAAGTGCCTGTGAAGAATTCTGGTCAAGGTTTGCTTTCACATATTTTATATGCTATGCCAGTAATTTTAGTCCTAAATAAGATGCAAGAGATATAGAAATTAGTATCTCCTGTTGTATTTTATGAGGATTGTCTCAAGTCTGTAGGTAAAACTGGAATCAGATACCATCAACATCGCTCATAGATGTTCTGCAAATAAATATTGAGTGGAGCCCCTGTCTGACATGCTGTAATGATCCTTCCATTTCCACTGATCTGATTCTTCCTTCCTCTTAGAGATTCTCTAGCCGTGTTTACACCAAGATACAAGGGGATTTCTCATTTCTTTACTGTTACCCTTGATGAGTTTCTGAGAGGTCACTATTGGATTTTCAAGATTCAACAATTTACACATTTCTAAAATGCTCATAGAAGGGCGTGATAATGGCAGTAAATTAGTTTAGGATGAGATTATAACCAGAATCATATTTGATTAAAATCCCTGTGAGAAAAAAATATTACTTTTAGGAAAGGGCGTTGATAAATCTGCTTCATAACTCTACTTTCAGTGCTCTTGACTCTACAATACAGTTTCAAAACTTCTTGAAACTTTTTTTCAGACTCAGGAAACTAAACTGGAAGAGGATTTTAATTCGGCATCGAGAAGACATTCCTTTGGATGGGACAGATGATGAAATGGAAAGTCGAAGAAAATTTTCAAATTTTGAAGAAAAAGTGTTCAGTGTTAATGGAGCCAGAGGAAACCACATGGACTTTGGTCAGCTGTATCAATTTTTAAATGCCAACGGATGTGGGGATGTTTTTCAGATGTTTTTTGGTGTGGAAGGACAATGACTGAGCAGAGTAGTGACAAGCATTTTTTTCTGTTGGCCTTTCAACTTTTTTCTCACTTTCTTGAACGATTCACTAGTTTTACTTTTGTCCCATCGTAGAATGTAAATCAGTATCTTTGCAAGAATTGTATCTTCAAGAAAAGCATGTTAAAAATGTCGTCATTGAAAGCAGAACTGAGTTTTAAATTATAATCCTAAAATCGTAAGTAGACATTTCTTGACATAACAACTACCCATTTTGAAAGAAAAAATTGATTATAGTTGAGGAAGATAATGGTTGTCCAACTTCCCAATTCTCTTCCCCCCTTATCTACCTTCAGTAAAGATCTTGGAAAAGCTAAGTGCACACTCTCCCTGCCTCTCTTGCAACTTGGGTGGCCACAGGACATGCCTTTGGCTGAGGGACTTCTGGGTAAACGTTTGCTTTCCTGATTAAAATGATAGCTGCAGTTTGGGCACTGTTTCCCTCTTTCAGTTACAAACACCAAAGTGCCAGCTGGAGTAGGCCTTCAACCACAAGGGCAGGAGGGACCAAGAAAACCACAGAAGTGCCAGTTTCCATGTTGCTGTACTGTTCATCCAACACCAGCCCAAGCCTATTTCTAGACAGCTTATTATGAAATCAACTCCATGTTATTTAGATTTCTGTGCCTGTTGCTAGCAACTGAAAACTAATATACTAAATAGTTTTTTTCTCAAAGCTTCTGTTTTACGTCTACCCCAGCCATTTGTTACACAAAGAGGTGAAGGTTTTCTGAAAATTTGCAGTTCATCTCTATTTTTGTATACTTATGCTCTGTTCCTGCTTCTGGGCTCACCTCACAGAAGGCTGAAGTCTGAGCACAGCTTAAACTTTTTAACAGATCTTAACAGATCATCAGATCAATAATTTAGCAATCAGGTTGATACCATGTGTTTGGATAGTCCTTGAAGAGTCAGACTTGGTTATGGGAATGAGATGCAGGGAGACACAATGAAATGTTTACTTAGAACCACGTGAAGGCAATCTGTGGGTTCGTCACTAAGGATGGTATTTATTAGGTAATAGCATGTAGAAATCAGAAGTAGAATGACCAAGGAAATGTGGATTGATCTTAACTATAAAGGTAGCTAAGCACAGGTAAGAATGAGGATGGTATTTATAGCAGTGTCTTCGATGTGAATTTTAGCTACTTCCTCAGATTCCATCTCTGCTGCCCACCTCATCACCTTGTCAGTACCCTAGAAATGCCAATCCTTCCTCCATATGGATCAGCTGTTCATCTAGAGATTATTGTTACTCCTACTCCTTACAGCAGCTACTATATAAGAAAGGAAAGAAAGAAGACATTGGGGAATCAGAACTTAGAAGTTTGGGGGAAGGTCCTATAAAGCTGGGTGTCAGTTCAGGACATGCCTGGCTATTGCTGATCTTGTGGAGGTCAAAGAAGGGACACCCTGCTGTTGGGGTACAGACTTCTGAAGAGGGAGTACCATGGATAAAGAGCTCAGAGGAGGGGCTCGTAGAGCTGAGACTATGAGTAGGGTCTTGCCCGGCTGCTACTCCTTTCCCTGAGGAGTGCTAAAAGGTTGATTCTGTGATTGCTGGAAAAAAGATGGAAGTCTGAAACCAACTGCTTCCTAAGCCAATTGCTGTTGCTGAGACAAAGCTCCTCTGATGGGATGACACCAACGTGAGGCAAGTCCCTTCTTCCTCTCACCTCTCAGTCTCCCAGTACCCTCATGATGATGCAAATCTAAGATGATGTCAGTGCCTCAGTTTCATGGAGTTGAGATAAAAGAGTGACCATGAAAGTAGTAACAAGAAACGTGCTTATTTTTTCTAGTGTAATTCTGAGAAACAAACCACTAAGTTACAAGATTTGTGCCCTTCAATCTTGATTACCTTATCACCCTCTTCTAAAAACTGCATGTAACACTGCCTATATGGAAAATGTTGTGCCCAAGATCAGCAGACTCGGCGAGCATAGCCTCCAAGAATCCAAGGACAGCTGATGCAAACGCAAAAGGGAGTTTATTACGGGCTCGAGACCGGGCCCTCGACACGCACCGATGCAACGGCAGAGGTCGAGAGCCCCGAATAGAGGAAGCAGGGGTATCTTATTGGGTCGCGAGTGACGCGAACTTTGCAAGAAGCTGGCAATTACTCATTGGCTACTACAAAGGCATTTTGGCGCGTGCGGTTAGTTTCAAACTGATTGGACAGTTAGAGATGCTGTCCCATTTATGGATAGGACTGCCCTTATTGGTGGCTGGGGTGGTCTGCTTTTTCGTCACCAAGTGGAGTGAGGGTTGTGACTGCTGAAACTATCTCCGGAATGCGGCTGGACAAGGACTAACATAGCAAGGTGGAGGATATACAAAATGGCGAAACCTCGGCTAAGCTTGGTTCCACATTCCCCCATTTTTTTTTTTTTTTTTTTTCTGAAAAACGGCTAGTCAGCTAAGAAAACAACAGCTACCAAGCCTTTTATCCGTTAGTCAGTCTCAGAATTATGGTTAAGTTCAGCCACATAATGTGTTCACAGGTTTATAGGTACAGGAAAATTTAAAATTGCCATCCTTATACAAAACACTGACTTTTTCTGGGTCATCTCAGACCATGACCTCTGAAAATCAGACTCTAAACCATCTATCTAGTCAGCAAGAGGTATTATCTTCAGTAACAAATGAGAATTACTCTGCTCAAACAAGGGATTTCTCTCCAGTTAGCCAGTCACAGAGTTATTCATTTGGTCACTAAACATCAGCTATTGAATAAAACAGGTTGCTGCCCACCAGTCTTAATACTAACCCCTTTTTATTTTCTCCTTGCATAAATGAGTCTGCTGCTCCAATTAAAACACTCTCTGTTATCACTTGAAGGAAACCAAGGCCAACGTTAACACATTCCTTTAGTTGTTATCTCTGAAGCCTTCCTAAACTCTTCAGAGGTCCCCTCCTGCACTGTCCCTAAAACTGCCTAATTACCCTAACTTGCCCTATGTCTTATTCCTCCCCTTCTGCGAATGGAGCCCCTAACTGCAGTTAGGAAAAGGGGCGTCGTTCTGATCAGTAACTGCTTCCTGCTGAAAGTGGGCGATGAGGGGAAACAGTCAGGGCTCCACTGCAGGGCGATGATCTAAGGGACCTCGAAAGGACAGTGGAGGCTTCATAGTTCGATGGTCTCCAGGCGAGAAATGACCTCGATGAAGGCATTGAGGATGTAAGGCCCAAGCAAGAGAAAAACAAAAACAAAAGATTTCAGTTCAAGAGTAAGTAGGTCACAAATTTTTTTTTTTTTTTTTAACTTTAGCCATTAACAGGTCTAGGGCTTTAGGGTTTTATACATACTTAATGTTACTGCAGTTATCAAAATGAGGCCCTCTAAATGTTAGTGCATAAAATGTTAAGTTTAAACAGAATAAGGTAATTTTCCAAGATGAAGACTCAGGACATCAAAACTTTGATTATTATTGTACCTATTTTTACAGAAAAATGGAAATTTTACATGATAATTTTTTTTTAAATGTGAACAGACAAGTTGCAAAATCACAGACTCACCGGTACCAATCAAAATCTGCAATGAACAGTTCCTTTGAATTGATGCTCAACATCAATGCACAATGAGACCTGGCCAACCATGATCATGCAAACAAAAATTTTTCACAATTATATTTTTATGTTTTATAAAACGGTCTTAAAGAAATACTTTCATAAACATTTCTGGTGCAACTTTGTCAATGACAAAGAAACACAATGTTATTTTTTTATTTTATTTAACCACTGAGAATGTACAAACAAGTAGCCTCGTAGTGAGCAAGGTAGCAGTGCTGTAAAGTGTCTTGGCTCAGTCTGGCCATCTTTACTAGTGAGGGGGGCAATCGACCAGTAGGTCAATCCAAAGAATTGGAGTAAGGCAGAGCAAGTGGCCCCTTATTTACCAAAAAGATGATTTTTTTGTCTGCCACTTCTAGGGTCACCCGAGGCTTATTCGTATAAACAGTAAACAGGGGAGCTTGTCTCACCTCTGGGCTTCTTCAGAGGTCTTCTCCTGCACTGGATTCTTCATCAGAGGCAGCTGACCGTCAAGCCTGTCCTCCCATCCTGGCCCGTGGTTTGGGCTGGCCCCCTTCCTCTCTGGAGAGTGGGACAGTCCCCCTTTTTAGAGCCTTGTATGATGGCACTGAAGGCATGGCCCTGGGGACAGTTTTTTGCAGCTGAGGTATCCTGGTTGCTGGCAGTGGATGCAAGCTGGCAGCCCATTGAGAGGTTGAGGTCCCGAATGCCCTAGGGCGCATGGGGCCTTGGGTGAGTCTGAGGTGGCAGAATACTGTGATGGCAACTGCCATCTACTGGGCCCTTTTCTTGCCTCTTTTTTTTTTTTTTTTTTACTAAGTCCCCTCCATATTACTGTAGGCCTTGAAGGCTATGTCTAATAAAAGTGTTAAAAGGATTTTAGGCCCTTGATTTAGTTTCCGGAGCCTGCACCTGATGTCAGAACAAGGATGGCTAAAAGATATATATTTTAATTACACATTTTTATATGTTTTATACAATTTTTATAAAATAGAGACTAGAGACCACTTGGATATTAAGTGACACCAAAACAGTGAATAATATTTTTCCAATTTTGAATAATTAAACATTATATTTTTTTTTTATATAGTGTCTACATATAATACTGGAGAGAAAAATACAGGAAACACAAAAGTTATTATGCTGTCTCTTTTGTGAAGAAGGTAACTAGTTTTTCACCATTTCTGTCATTAACTATAAAACAGGTGTTTGATATAAATTATTTTACTTTACCTTGTTTACCTGTCCTGTGTCTAGAATGTTACTATTTTTTACATACACACTTTTGTATATAACACCTTTTTGCCAGGGGCACATGGGATAAAATAGTTGGTTTTTTTTTAACCAAGCAATGAATAGGCAATTGCCAAAATCCAGCAATGCATTACCAAAAAGGCAAGGGATTTTATAAAATACAAAACTGAAATTTTTAGATTTACTTAAGAAGCTAAAATTTTTATACTAATTTTTAACCAGAGTTTAGACTATTAAAAACAATTATAACATTATACAGTTTATAGAGTCAAGGCCAAAATACAGAGATATAGGACTCCTGGGAAAAGAAGTTAAAACACGCACAACAGTATAAGGTACTACCTTTACTTTACTTGTATTTAGAATTATTACATTTTAGTTTCTAATCTCTGCATGTAAGACACCATAATAGCTGTTTATTATTTCTTTAGAATGCACAACTTAGATACATTTTTAATTAAAAAAATTTTTTTTTTAGTTGAGATGACATTAAACTTTAGTCTTTTTACAATAAGGAACAAAATGTAAACCTGAAAGTTTAGTAAATGGTTAGCAAATTTTATTATTAAACTTAGTAAAACCTTAGTTTAGTTTTAGTTTTTCCTTAGAACTGGAATTTTAAGTCAACTTCAGAGTTGCCACTGTAACAATTTTATATACCAAGTCTTTTTCCTTAGGCAAGCACTAGATATGTTACAGGGCAGGGAGAGGGGCAGCCCAGACCCCCAAACCTGCCTGTTCTAAATAGGTTCTGCCATCAGCTGCATCAACACAAAACATACAAGACTTTAATGGGAAGGAACTTTAATACAATTAGGAGACAATACAGGAAAGGCAAATAATTTAGTTTCTAAATTAAGCACCCAAAGTGGGTAAAACTCTGTACCCTCGTGGGTAAAACTCCGTCCAAATGGGATTCGCCCAAGCCAGGCCCCAAAGCCTGCCACAAGTTTAAGGCCTCTTCCAGTGAGGACCCACAGGAAAGGGTTAGAAACAACCAGACAAGCTCGGAAGGAAAAGAGCAAAATTAAAATCAAGATAAAAGTTGCCATTGTCTCCTCCCCACGGGTCTCACCCACATCTGTGTTACCTAGTCCACAACCAAAAGGCAAGCGCAGTTTTTTCATGTGTCTCTAGGCTCCATGGGCCTCCTCCAGGTCTCCTTCTGGATTTTTTTTTTTTTTTAATTCTGCTTTTTTCCTCCCTTTCTTGGGCAGGGAACCTGGAATTTCCCCCTTTCCTGGGGACCACCCTGTTACAGATAGATTGACAAAAGCAAGAAAGAAAAGGAAAAAAAAAAAATAGACACCTAATACTATATACATTTTTTTCAGTAACTTGTCCATATGGCTTTAGATGTTACCTTGAATTTTGCAAAGAAGTCTAGTCCTTTACTGGGAGAATATATTGTTTTTTTCCAAGGGGAAAAGACAAGTAGATCAGTCTTCCTGGAACAAGATCTTATCAAGAGAAGTTTAGATAAAAGCCTAGAAGTAAGTTTGTTTGTTAGCATAGGCCAGGTTAATTATTATTTTTTCGTACAGCACAAGTAAACATATTTAAACAAAGCAAAGCACCAATTTTTTTTTTAACACTTAAACCTTAAGGCATGTATGCTTTAAACCATTAAATTTTGAATTAGCTTTTGTTTACTACAATTTTAGATCGCAATTTCAAAATTTAGGATTTTTTTTTTTTTATAGGCGCCATTTACAATTAATTCTCCGGAGGCAAAAATTAAGAACAAAGAGATTTCTTAATTTTTATTTGAATTTTTTTTTTTTTTTTGCCACATGCACTAATTTTAAGAAACAGTTATTTTTACCAATATTTGCAAAAACACTGAGAAACTACAATTTAGTAAACTTCAGTTTTTTTGTTTTTTTTTTTTAAGGTGGACAAAGGGACAGACTAATTTTTCCACAGCTGGAAGGCAGCAGAGATATACCAGTGATCTCAACACTGGAGAAAATGTCCAGGCAGCTGCTTGTTGAGATCAGAGGCAGCGTTTCTTACCAGCCAGCTGTGGTGACTTTTTAGTCCCCAGTATTTTACTTTTTGCCTTGACTGTGTCCAAAGACAGTGGAGTAGGCATTGCCTGACCCATGGTTACGAACACACAAACGCAACAAAGACAACAAACACCAGGAATAAAACAAAATTAGTTTTTTGTTTTTTTTTTTGAACTTTCCCCAAAAGGGGGACCTGCCCCAGTGCTGCCCCACAAGGGGTACGGATAACCAATTAGAGGTCCCTGGGTAGAGACAAACACCAAAGTTTTAAGAATAACAAACACACTAAACGAACCAAAAAACAAATTTTTCAAACGGGCCCCATACAAATGCTACCCCAGTGCTGCCCCACAGGGGATAGCCATTCAGGTGGTCCGGGGACGTCTCCCCTGGTCCACGCCAAGACACCTACCAGCGCATCCACTTAAGTGTCTGGCTACCAAAATTACAGGTTTGCAAACAATTCCACAGGTACTGAGTACAAAAAATACAAATACAGGTACTCAGTACTTCTACAGGTTTGCAAACAATTCTACAGGTACTGAGTACAAAAAATACAAATACAGGTACTCAGTACTTTTACAGGTTTGCAAACAATTTTACAGGTACTAAGCACAAAAAATACAAATACAGGTACTCAATACTACAGGTCTGCAGACTCAAACTTCACCACTCACCTGCGCGCTTTAATGGCTCCCTTCAGCCGTTTGGTGGTTGGGGTCTGTGCTAGCCGATCCCGGACGAGCCCCCAAATGTTGTGCCCAAGATCAGCAGACTCGGCGAGCATAGCCTCCAAGAATCCAAGGACAGCTGATGCAAACGCAAAAGGGAGTTTATTACGGGCTCGAGACCGGGCCCTCGACACGCACCGATGCAACGGCAGAGGTCGAGAGCCCCGAATAGAGGAAGCAGGGGTATCTTATTGGGTCGCGAGTGACGCGAACTTTGCAAGAAGCTGGCAATTACTCATTGGCTACTACAAAGGCATTTTGGCGCGTGCGGTTAGTTTCAAACTGATTGGACAGTTAGAGATGCTGTCCCATTTATGGATAGGACTGCCCTTATTGGTGGCTGGGGTGGTCTGCTTTTTCGTCACCAAGTGGAGTGAGGGTTGTGACTGCTGAAACTATCTCCGGAATGCGGCTGGACAAGGACTAACATAGCAAGGTGGAGGATATACAAAATGGCGAAACCTCGGCTAAGCTTGGTTCCACAGAAAAAGGGAAGATTTAGCCAGCATGTCCTCAAATTTTAATAAAATCTAGGAAATCTTTTTTTAAAGATTTAGTTATGCACACAAGAACAGGGAAACAGGCCAGAGATATGGGGGGGGGGGGCTGTGAGAGGATTCACCAGAGACAGATTGGGGAGTAGAACAGGCAGACTGAGTGAAATGCACTGCTAAGGGGGGTAGCAGGTGCGACAGGAGAGGTCTGTCGCGCCAAGTGGGTAGCTCCCTGGCCGGCCGGGGATCGAACCCGCGCCGCAGACGCTTCAGATCGCTTCATAGTGTGGTGCTCAACCCCTTGTGCCACGAGGGGAGGCCCTGGTGATTGCATTTTACATGGTTTAACACTTTCCTACCTTCCCTCGGCCACCAGCATGTCATTCTATCTCCATTGGTGTG